GGTCCCTCCATCTCAGGGCCTTGGAAGCTCTTCTCCAGTCCTCAAGGCAAGAGAGCTGTGACCTCGAAGGGATGGAGGCATATTGGGTTGCCCCATCGTCTCCCTCGGCCCCAGATTTTGCCGGCATTTCTTTGCACGGTTCCCGTCTCCTGGACTTTAAGCAGAAGCTGGATGGCCATCTGTCGGGGATGCTTTGATTGGGAGTTCCTGCATGGCAGAAGGGGGTTGGACTGGATGGCCCTTGGGGTCCCTTCCAACTCTAGGATTCTATGATCCTATGACTTACTTCGTAGATGTTCTCCTCTTCGTAAGCCTTCTTCTTGGCCTGCGAGAGACGCTCGTTTTCCCATCTCTTCTGTGAAGGATACAGGAGCGTAAGACAACTAACTGCTGGGCACACAACGGTGTTAGTGTGTCTTTTAAGCTCAACAACGCAAGCTTTCGGTGCACTTAACGCAAGGTTACACCGCAAAGGGAAACCCGTTTAACTCTCACCCCTCGTCTTGAACGGTCATTGCAACACAAGTTGCTGCAATTGTTGTCCAAGATGCTTCCAATTTATGGGGTTTTCTTGGCAAGGGTGTTTGCCTTTGCCTCCCTCTGATGAGGCTGAGAGAGTGCGACTTGCCCAAGATTGTCCAGTGCATTTTCATGTCTGAGCATGGATTCGAACCCTGGCCTCTGGGGTCACTAGACTCTGCTGACTCCATTGCTGTAGCATAACCTTTATTGGTGGGAAATGATGCAGCAGACGGTACTCAGCAAGGAAGTATCCCAGTCCTTTTGCTGATGGGCTCCAGCAGCGTGGCTTAGTGGTCTGAGCATTGGATTAGGACTCTGAAGACCAGGATTTGACTCCTGACTCAGCTATGTAAGCCCACTGAGTGACCTTGGGCAAGTCACATACTCTCAGCCTCAGAGGATGACAATGGCAATCTTTTTCTGAAGAGACTTGCCAAGAAAGCTTTTTACCCTCAGAAAGTTCTTCCTGACATTTAAGTGGAATCTCTTTCCCTGTAGTTTGAATCCATTGCTCTGGGTTCTATTCTCCGGAGCATCGGAAAACAAGCTTGCTCCATCCTCCATAGGAGGACACCCCTTCAAATATCGAAAACTGGCAATCATGTCGCCTCTAAACCTCCTTTTCTCCAAGCTAAACATACCCAGCTCTCTAAGTCATTCCTCATAAGGTTTGGGGGTTTCCAGACCCTTGACCCTTTGGGTCACCCTCCTCTGGACACGCTCCACCTTGTCCACTCCTGTCTTGAATTGTGGTGCCCAGAACTGGACATAATGTTCCAGGTGAGGTCTGAGCAACACTGTATTGTCCTCAACAGGGATCTCCACCTGCTTTCCCATGAGATTCCCATGAGATTCCCATTTGGAGGGAGTCCTTTGGAGTAGATTTGTCCAGCCTTGGTGCTCAGATGGCAATGGAAAGAGTTTTGGGAAGTGTCCACAAGAAGGACGTGGCCTTCAGAGACCTCTTTACCAGGGCTTTCTTGGGCAGCAGAGATCAATCAATCACCCTTTTTGCAAACCGTGCAAAAGCAGAACAAAGTCTGGTGACTGGAAACTCTCGGCTGACAGATGCAGAGCAAACCACGCCATGCACACGCGTGTGCGTGCGTCCGTGCGTGGGCAAATTGTGAATGGAAGGAAAGAACAGCTCACCCTGAAGAGGAGGAAAAGGCCGGGACCCATGGCGCAGATGAGCAAGAGGAAGCCTTCTGCGGTGATGATCTTATTTTTGGCAGATTCACTCATGTTCAGGAAGGAGACGGAGCGCATTCCTAGAAGACAGAGAGCAGGAGAGAAGGAGATCCCAGAGCATCCCAAGCCTCCATCTTCCATGACTCTCTTGCAAATCCCAGGTCAAAGGTCTGAGAAGAAAACAAGCTTGCTCCCTCCTCAATAGGACATCTATACAAATACTTAAATGGGGCTATCATGTCACCTCTTAACCTGTTCTTCTCCAGGGTAAACATACCCAGCATCTCCCAAAATCTCTCCTCATAGGGCTTCAGGGTTTCCAGACCCTTTCCAGTTTTGGTGGCCCTCCTCCTTGGGACTCATAGTCCAAGTTGCCAGAGACCTGTCCTGCATTTTCCTTCTCCTGCCTTTCGACATAGGGACCCGCTAAGAGGCCAAAGAAGGGAAGGCAGAATGAGGCGAGAGATTCCCTCCTGCCCAGACCTTAAACCGGCCCCTAAGGGCACAGGGGCCATACTTACTCCGGATCCACAGGTACGTGCCACACGACTGACCGTAGCCTTGGCGTGCTTCCACAAAGCAGTAGTACATGCCGGTGTCGTTCCTCTGGGCCGGGTGGAAGGAGAGGACGGATGACCCACGGCCGCGGTCCACGGAGATGCTCCTGTTCCCATCCTCAGTGATGTCAAAGGTGTCGCTGCATTTGGGGGAACAAGACCTCTTCCAGGTGACGTTGGCCTCCGGAGGGCTGAATTTGCACTCCAGGGAGGTGGGGTAGCCTTCCAAAATGATGCGAGAGGTAGGGACAGGCTCCACATACACCAAAATTTGGGAAAGGCCCTGAGCTTTGGGCTGGACCGAAGAGACGGGCTTCTCCCTCGCCAGCTTCGTGCTCAGAGGAACTTCGGCCGGCGTGACACTTTCAGCCGACGAAACCCTCTCTGTGGTCTGATGTCCACAAATGCAACCTGGGGACAGGTAAAACCAGGGTTGGGTCAATGAGAGTTATGGAAGGGACCACATCTGCTGAGATTGTTGTTGTTGTGTGTTTTGGTACAGTATTTTAAAAAACCCACATCTTCCCTAAAAGTCACAGTCAGTTCATTTCCCCCAAACTATGCACAACAAATTGGAAAATGACTCTCTTTATATGTATATAGGTATATACCTGTATATGTAAATAGGTATATATGTATATAGGTAGATACATATATATGTATATAGGTGTGTGTGTGTGTGTGTATATATATATATATACTCATATAGGTGTGTGTATAGGTATATAAGTATATAGGTATGTATATACACACACACACACACACACATATATATATATACATATATGTTAAATGTAAAGAGAATACTTTTTATAATTAAAATGCTGGCTATTGTTATCTCAGGAGTTTATCATACAGGCAAAAGAAACAAGATATTAGTGCTATGCTCCTGCAATATCCCATGAATATTGTGCAATAACACAATGCTTTTCACATGACATCATCATTATTGCATAATTATCCCATGAATAAAGTGACAAAATCATGCCGCTTTTTATTTTCAGGATTTTCCCCAAAATAAAAAACATTGCAATTTTGTGGCTTTATTCATGGGATAATCGTGCAATAATGACAACGTCATGCAACGTTGTGTGAAAAGCATTGCGTTATCATGCAATATTTATGGGATATTAACGGGAGCATAGTGCTAATATCCCGTTTCTTTTGCCTGTATGCTAAACTCTTTAGTTTGAGATTTGACTATAGCATTCTAGTAAGGCACCAATTTAAAAGGAATATAAACTTCCTATATTTTATATATAAAATATATAAAATATATAGTGGTGCCAAATGGCTTTATTTTCGCAGAGTAGATGCACCCCAAGTGTGTGTATATATATGTGTGTGTGTGTATGTGTATGTGTATGTGTGTGTGTATATATATATATATATATATATATGGAAATCGGGTAAGATGTGATGATCTATTTTGGATGTTGGTTGGATGATATTGTAAGTCTGGAAAATACTTATAATACTTAACCTCCTGTGAGATAAACTCCAAAGATTGCATCCACACTGCAGAAATAATCTGGGTTGACACTACTTTAGGTACCATGGCTCAATGCTATGGAATTCTGGGAACTGCAGCTTTGCCCTGGTGCCACAACAGACTGCATTTCCCAGAATTCCATAACACTGAGCCATGGCACTTGGAGGGGTGTCAAACTGGATCATTTCTGCAGTGTGGACGCAGCCTATACTATTTGACCCTTGCAATTTGCAAGGCTGATCATCATTCTGTTTCGGCTCCAGCCTCCAGGCCAGCGAAGCAATTGCCTCCCAGTGCCCCCC